CAGACCCAGGAGTATGAAAGACAATTGTGACACACCAGTCCTATCTCCTCGATACAAAAAGTCTTCCAAAATGTTTCCTCTACAGTATCCCAAAAGAAATATCAAATGAATCTGCTTACAATAAAGCAATAAAGAATATAGAATCCCCACAACTCCTTCCAAAAACCTAAAAGGAAAATTAACCAAGAAAATCTTAGGCACACCTACTGCACACTGTAGAACCCAGCCGCTCAGAAAAAGGTTAAGTGAAATTTCTTGATATCTTGGGAAACAATTAAGACCTATACTGAAGAATTGAGTTTCACAGACCCTTGGTGTTTGAAGCATCCAACTAAAAGAGAATATACATTTTATTTGAATGTGCACCAGAATTTTTTTAGGCTTGATTATTTCTTAATATCATTGACTATATACAATCAAATTCAAGAATGTAATATAGACCTTTGTTATGTATCAGATCATAGTGCAATTACTTTGAATTGTGTGTTTCAGAAACTGGTTAAGGCATCAAGAAATTGATTGGTATTTTAATGTTTCTCTGTTGAATGATAAAGAATTTGTACAACAAATGGGAGTAGAGACTTTGCAATACTTTGATTTAAATTTAGGAACATCAAGTGGTCAAATTTTTGAATAGGAATCATATAAATCTTATATCCGTTGAATTATTGCTCATGCTATATAATAATATATAAAAATAAATATAAAAATAAGATTAAAAATAAAAGAGAAAATAATTTGAAAGATGAATTGAAACATTTATGGGCACAGATGGTTAGAAACCCATCTACTACTTTGTATAGAGAAATATGAATTAAATACTATCACAGCAGACAGAATTTATGCTAACATGTTCATGACAAGGATATTGGGAGAATGGTGAAAGACCAGGTATAATGTTGGCTAATTGTTTAAAACAAAAGAAAGATAGGGCTATGATTCCAATTATTAGAGGTAAAAGAGATGAAATATATAAAACTTCAAGGGATATAAATTGTCAATTTTTAAAATTTTATTCAGAATTATATAGCAAGCCAGAGAATATATTGAATGAGGATACAGAGGCCTTCTTAGATAATATAAATCTACCACACATAGATGATACACAAAAACAACTCTTATTTGCTCCACTACCTGAGGTAGAGATTAAACAAGTGCAATTCCTTTATATTTAAAGGTTGCCCATCCTCTGCAATAACAAGTGACAAACATTGCTTCAGCCTTCTGTTGAAATTAAACACAGACAAGCAAAAATGCCTTATGAACCACAATCAAGGAATGATCTGGAAATTATACTGGTCCCTTTATATCTGTTCACAAAGTAAATTATTTGAGAATCATTGGTACTCACCCAAATCTGCAGTTTTACCCTCTTGTCATTCCTGTAAACAGTCTTCACTTTGAAGTCAATTCCCACTGTACTGACAAAGGCAGGTGTGAAAGTATCATCAGCATATCTGAAGAGGAAGGAAGTTTTGCCCACACTACTGTTGCCAATGATCAGGAGTTTGAACATATAGTCAAAGTTCTGGTCCGAAACATCCTTGTGTCCAAATCTGGCATCTGTTACAGAAGCCATCTATAAAGAAAACAACAGCATCATTTTTAAGGACTCTGAATTTAAGCACAAAGTAAGGTCTTTGTGATCCTCTTTGATATCCTATTTCCCACAGCATTCAGGACTGCTTGATAGTGCTGAGTATATATTCTAGCCTTCTCCAACTTGACACTCTGCATGTCTGTGGAATTCATCTCCCAATAGTCCTAGTCCAGCACATCTGGATGGCACCAGTTTGGGGAAATAATCTGTTCAGGAGTTCATAGTCCAGTCCAGAACTTACATATAAAGAGCAAGACTCATGACTCTATCAAGAGGAGTTACAGGCTTTTTCACACATACAGAACCTGATCTAGAACATGACTTGTAAGCACACAAACTCACAGACCGTTAAGTAAGTCAGTATGGGATAGTGGCTAGGATTATGGACCTGGATCAGGGAGATCCAGACTTAAATCCATACTCAGCCATGGAAGCTTACTGGGTGATTTGGGACTAGTCAATCTCTCTTCTTAAATCTTAATCTTAAAGGAAATCAACCCTGATTGCTCATTGGAAGGACTGATACTGAAGCTCAAGCTC